AACTTTTTGTAATTGAAGTTCATAGAATCCTCCCCTAATTTCCTGTTTGTTGAAATCCTCTAATAGATATGTTGTTGGGTTTGTCAGCTGAATTTTTTTTATGGTGAAAATTTCTGTAGACCAGTTTGCTGTATATTTTTTATCAAATACACCACGAGTTTTCGATATACGAACTTGATCACCAATATTGAATTTTGGCTTAGAGGCGATCTTGATTCTATTGAAAACTGTATCCAAGAGAAGTTTCTCGTGCCGTTTTCTAACCTCGACAGGTTTCATACCAATTGTCCTGTGTATTCTATTGTTATAAAATTTTACTATTCTAGGCAGTATGTCTATCCACTTATATGATCCTTGATAATTGAATTCCTTCCACATGAAATTTTTCAAAGTTCTATTAACTCGTTCCACAATTTGTGCCTTTTTCTCACTAAAACTGCTATAGTGCTTAATGTGATATTTGTCCAATAGTTTCTTCATTGAAGAGTTGTAAAATTCAGTACCAAAGTCTGTTTGTAAATGTACCGGTATCTGTTCCTTGAAAACTTTTCCCATCGCTTTTGAAGCTTCACTTGCTGTTTTGGATTTGAGAGGTAAAGCCCAAACATACACATAGATTCAAAAGTTTTGCATCACCCTAAATCTCCGAAAGTATTTTTTTTATCAGGAAAAATAAATTAGAGACTTATTAATTGATTAGTTTTAATTAAGAAAACGTCTACAATACTTGCAGAAAAATTTTATTACACTGAAAAACTTTTTTTTAAACATAGGAGTATTTTCAAACAAAAATCAAAATTTACAAATTGATGGATTTCTTTAAAAAATGAACTTGAAAACCTTTAATATTGGGTATTTCCACCTCTAGCATTTATGCAAGCCTGGAGACGCCTGCCCATGCTGTCTATCAGATTGGTGATATGTTGTTGAGGAATATTTAGCCATTCTTCCTCAGCAGCATGAACAAGCTCTTGTAGAGTCCTGGGTGGGTTTCTGCGGGCTGCCACTGCCCTGGCAAGCATGTCCCAAGCATGCTCTATGGGATTCATGTCTGGCGATAGTGCGGGCCAGTCCAAACGATTGATGCCTTGCGTTTCCAGATACTCATTTACAGCTCTGGTACGGTAGGGTCGGGCGTTATCGTCCATAAAAACGAAAGCATCACCAACTGCTCCTCGCCATAGTCTGACGTAAGGATCTAGAATCTCTCTCATGTATCTGTCTCCAGTCATTGTGCCCTGAACATAAATTAATTCTGTGCGACCATTAGACATGATAGCAGCCCAGAACATAGCACTTCCTCCTGCAAAGGGTGGCACGGGGCGTGCATGAGCAAGCTGGGCAGCTCTTGTTGGCTCTCTCCATACACGTATGCGACGACTATCCTGCACCAAACAAATTCTTGTTTCGTCAGAAAAAAACACCGAGTTCCAAAATTTTGCAGGTAAAGCCACGTGCTCTTGAGCCCAATGTAGCCGACGAACTTTGTGCTCTGGTTGCAGTCGAGGTACTCTAAGTGGTCGACGACACCTTAAACCTGTCGCGAGTATTCGTCTCCGCAATGTAGAGACCGATATTTGAACTCCCAAGCCATGACGCATATCTCTTTGGAGTGCTGGTATTGCCATGGTCGGGTTTCATCGGATGGTTAAGTGAATATAACGGTTCTGTTGTTGATTAGTGACACGTCTTCTACCGCTTCTAGGTCTATCACGAAGAGAATTATTCTGGAGATAGCGATTCCAGGTGCGAGACACATCACTTTGACAAACACCAACTCTATTAGCTACGAACCTTTGAGAATGACCTTCTTCAATTAAAGCCACTATTCTTGCACGATCAATCTCACTTATGTCTTGTCGAGGCATCTTTGTGCGTGAATTCGTAAAATTCAACTGTCTTGACTCTAGAACTAGTCGCACCAAAAATGTGAACTTACAAAAAAAATTCTAAAAATTTTTTTCGGGCAACAAATATGCGACTATTTAGGAAGATAAACATTGATAAACAAACCCAAAAAAAATTGCTGCCGCTAAAATTTTTTTTCGTTTAAATACAAGGTGATGCAAAACTTTTGAATCTATGTGTATTTTGAAAAACAATTGATAACAACCAGAATATACTTGAAACCACTGTTTGTATTTGCATATGGAATCATTTCAACTAGGTCAGCTTGAAATAAGTCATTTAAAGATTTTATAATCACTTTACGTCTAGGGAAGTTGATTCTTGCAGGTTTATGTATCTCGTTAACAACTTGTCGCTTAACATCAGTAACACTAAATTTACCCATTTTATTATTATTCAACAATGTTTGCTTCTCGTAACTCTTCCACAATTGCGTTGATCTCGTTGTTATGGTTTGTATTGCCTGCCGTTTGGGAAGCAAGTAACAGTTGTAAGCGTTCGACAAGTTCATTTGGATCATCCCAGTAGATGTAATCAATCGAATTGTTGGAATATTTCATTTCTGCTGATGATGCAACCATGCCATTTCCAGTAGTTGTTAAAGGTTCGAAAAGTAGTTTGAATTTTTCAGATTGACTGTCATTTTCATCTCCAGTGGTCTTGAACCTTTTTCTATTTATATTGGTTCTTGAGATAATGTCCTTGAAAGCAGCTTCATCATCCTTCGTATAACTTTTAGGCATATTTTTTCTGAACAGTAATTTATACAGTCCGGGGGTTCCTTTGTATCTTCTTCCTTTCACTAATAAATCAGATCCAACGATTTCAACTTTGGAATCACCAATGTAGAAATTATCAATTTCATCACGTCTTATACGATATTTAGGTAAAACATTTCCCTCTAACGCTGGATCTAGTACGGGATACGAGGCCTATTTCATCAAATCATTTTACACCGTCTTGCATTGTTATCATCAGTTAGATAAAATGGTACTGAAACGCACTTGTGCAGGGAAATAGATGGGAGTGGGGGATTTCGCTGAAAAAAATGTTTCAGAAAATGTCGTCATAAATTAGGAAAATATATAATTATACACCGTCTTGCATTTATTTATTGAGTCAGTTTGTACACAAACAAAATTGAATTACCACATGCAAGACGTTTTTATGGGGGTTTTAGGGTTGCAATAGAAGATGGAAATTGTCAATTTGTGAGAGGGGTGGAAAATCATTTTACACCACTCCATTGTTGATTTAGATTAAAGCTTGAATGTAGAATAGCTACTGGATACTGATACAAGACGTCCTGTGGAGGGATAACGGGCTGCAAGACGGATGTCAATGCGTTGTCTCATGAGGGAGTGAAAATTTATTTTACACCACTTCATGCTTATGTCCGCCGGAAGAATATATGTTAAAAAATGGTAATACATCAGTCCAAGACGTTTTTTCGGGGAAAAAAGTTAATAAATCCGTTTTCTTTTTTTACTGAACTTTTGAGTTATTTACTGAACCGTTCACTGTTCATTCTTTTCTAAATCATACAGATGGAAAAGGACAGTTGACATAGCAGCTCAACAGGGGAGTCTGCTGAATACAGGAATTATAATTTCTGTTTACAATTCCAGGCAGATCATTTTTTTGCTGCTTTAAAATCAAATTTCTCAAATTTACCTAATACCTACTTACAATCCGTTAGGTGTTATGACATATCCACCTCAAAAAAAAAATAAAATGATTATAAGCTGTCAGAAAAAGAACAATTTTCAAACTTTTTTTTTTGATGTCCGTAGAGTCATTCAAATATACATATTAAGAGAATTTTGCAAAATAGAATTATTCTACGTGGTAAAAGCAAAAATATCTAAAATTATTGTGCGTAATTTGTAATTTAGAGTAGTATTCACATTTGTACCTGATGGATTTACCCCCGTCAAAATTAGTCAACTTCATCACCGTCTTGCAGTCCTTTCTTTCCATTTAGAACGTCTTGTATTTTTTAAAATGTTATCAATGTGTTCTGTTTTTCCCATTAGTATCAGTGCAAGACGGTGTAAAATGATTTCTCACTCCTTCATAAGACAACACATTGACCTCCGTCTTGCAGTCCGTTATCCCTCCACAGGACGTCTTGCATCAGTATCCAGTGGCTATTCTACATTCAAGCTTTAATCTAAATCAATAATGGAGTGGTGTGAAATGATATTTCACCCCTCTGAAAAATTGACAATTTCTATCCAATATAACAACCCCAAAACCTCCATGAAAACGTCTTGCATGTGTTGATCCAATTTTGTTTGTGTACAAATTAACTCAATAAATAAATGCAAGACGGTGTATAATTATATATTTTCCCTGTTTATGACGACATTTTCTGGAAATTTTTTTTCAGCGAAATCTCCCACTCCCATCTATTTCCCCGTACAGGTGCGTTTCAGTATCATGTTATCTAACTGATGATAACAATGCAAGACGGTGTAAAATGATTTGATGAAATAGGCCTCGTATCCCGTACTAATCAGTAGCAGGGTCATTTATAAATTCTTGTATATATTTTGCCGGCAATGGATCAAATTGATCCAAATATTCAGTTTGTGACAGGTTTAAAAATTCATTTTGACGACAGTAGATAATCAAAGGGGTTTCTAGGACCAAATTCCGGCCATAACCTCAATCTTTCATTCTTGACACGTGGTGGATGCGCCGTCATTGACACGAAGGTGGATGCGCCGCCATGGCCCCATCTTGTTGACAGATGGCGCCATGGGACCTGCGCCCGCAGGGCTCCGCCCTCCAAAAAGGGGGCCCGCAGGGCTCCGCCCCCCAAAAAGGGGGCCCGCAGGGCTGCGCCCCCCAAAAAGGGGCCCCCGGATTTTATTATGGGTACCAGAAAAAGGGGTGGGCGGAAATGTTTTCCCGCCATTTTGTCAACCGTCAGCTGTTGAACGTCATCTGTCAAACGTCACCTGTCAAACGTCACCTGTCAAACGTCACCTGTCAAACGTCACCTGTCAAACGTCATCTGTCAAACGTCATGACGTCATAGCGGGAGTTTTGAGTCGTTTCGGGTTCTGTGATGACGTCATAGCGACCTGGGTCACGTCCGTGGAGTCATTTAGAGTACATAGTGCAAAGTTTGATTCAGGGTTCGCGTTCTGTGATGACGTCATAGCGACCTGGGTCACGTCCGTGGAGTCATTTAGAGTACATAGTGCGAAGTTTGATTCAGGGTTCGCGTTCTGTGATGACGTCATAGCGACCTGGGTCACGTCCGTGGCGCCATTTAGAGTACATAGTGCAAAGTTCGATTCATGATTCGGGTTCTGTGATGACGTCATAGCGACCTGGGTCACGTCCGTGGCGCCATTTAGAGTACATAGTGCAAAGTTCGGGTTCTGTGATGACGTCATAGCGACCTGGGTCACGTCCGTGGCACCATCTAGCGTACATGTGTCAAGTTCGATGTGTCTTATAACAGGATGCTGTGGTGGAGACGTAACTATGAGGGTCCAGCAGCTAGCTTCATGTTGTACCTGGTAGAGGGTGTTCGAACTCAAGGATGATACACACCTAAAGGATTGCTTATTGACCTCGTGTGTTACCATCGTGTGAAGCCATCAGCTGTTTAAACAACCTACGTCAAGGCGAGAAATAACATGCTGCTTACGTCACAACTGGTGATTTAACGTTGGGGAGAGAGTGGATTTGTTCCACACAGGCCTTATGAGGATAGGCTATCCTGTAGTAGTAGTGTGTATTATCCTTGGTTGGAACCAACGTTTGATGGGAAAGGGGCCTCGTTTTTTTTTTTTATTAAAAACATACATTTTTTAAGACAACGATTTCAAAAAGCGAATATTTTCCATCAATAAACTGCTTAATGATCTAATCATTTTGGTGGTACGTCTTGGGAGAAACACTATGCGTTGTCGTCAAATTCAACGAGTATTTCAAATCCATAGCTAAAAATATGCCACAATTGTATCGATTACCTAAGTATATAAGATATTTACTTACTTGGGTAAAATAATAATTGCTGTGCAATAGTCTTATAATGACGAGAAAGAATACAACACTGTGGGCACCCCTTTTAATTCGAACTTCGCTTGACATCTGTTGATCTACCTTAATTTGTATAGTTTATTGGTTCCAGTAAAGATTTGCAATTATTTTGAGGTCTGTATCGTAGAAAATATTGGGAACTTTCACTTTATACGAGGACTTATAATTTTCTCAGCGTTTTTGATCCTTTGTTATAAAAAGACAGGCCTTGTTGATTGATTTCAAATCCATATCTAAAATATTCATAATTGTATCGATATTAGTAGGTATATAAGATATTCACTTACTTGGTTAAAATGATAATTGTTGTGCAATAATTTTATTGTTGTTGACGAGTCTCAAACAAGACTGAAAGAGCTTAATTATTATAAAATCCGATTCAAACTTCGAATTAACAACATAACATACAAAAAACGCTGCCAAAATATTGGGAATTTCACTTTCTATGAGGCTTCAGGTCTTGTAATTTTCTCAGTGTTTTTAATCCTTTGCTATAAAAAAACAGGTCTTGTTGTTGATTGATATTAGTATATAAGATATTTACTTACTTGGTTAAAATCAAATTAATTGTTGTGCAATAATTTTATATTTTTCACTGGTGACCAGTTTGAGCGAGACTGAAAGAAGCTTGTTATTATAAAATCCGATTTAAACTTCGAAGTGTCACATACAAAAAGCACCGCCAAATGTAAAAACTTAATCGGCAGTTTTTTTATCTGAATTATATCAGGACCGTTCACAGAAACCGCCCGAGAAAAACAACAACACATTTTGAAGATAATTTTTTAGTTTAAGGCGTAATTATTAAGTTAGATATTTAATATGTCCATTTTTATTTTAAAAAAGGTGACAAATTCAATCGATTTATCAAAATTTAAAAGAATAGATTTAAATTAGCATCGTTGACATTGTATGAGCCAAAAACCCTATGCAATACAAAATTTCAGTGGATACATTGTTACCTGTAAAAGATGAGGATTCAATTTTTATTCTTTGTACAAAAAACGCAGCATCCAGTACCAGTACTTTGAACCTGGATTTTCAAAGTTTAGTTTTTTGTGCGATAAGTGTCGGTTTCGAAAAACTGTAAGTACTATTTTTAAATATCTAAGTGATGTAGGATAAATCATGCCCTGAGACATATTTTAAATTAACACAAACCTTGATTATTGAATAATTTTTATTTTCATTAACACATAAACATATTGTTTGTTTTTTAAAAATACCGACAACCCTGAGTACCTATTTCTTAATTTAATTCCAATAGTTTTTTTCGGAGCAACTTGAATTTACTTTTACACTTACATTTGCACAAAACTCAAATTTCTTTTTCTAAAATTTAGGTAGGTTCTTTAACCAATTTAAACTCGTTTTATTTTTTCATTTATTTTAAAACAAATCTCTATAAACAGCGAATTTTTAATTTTGTGCACAAAATCGTTCACCAGGAAGGAGATAACCTGAAACGTCATGGGATTGCTAATCATCTTCCAAGATCTGTAACCAATGTGGTGGGATTTTTAAAGCAGAGGGGGCTATCCAACACCACCCAAACACCAAGCTCCAAGAGAGCCTCCAAACGAAAGGCTGGAGATCCCGCCGCCCCCATGATGAAGCAAGCTAGACTTTTGCTGGTAAGTTGACATTAAGTGAATTTTTTAAATCTAATTTAATTATTTTCAGGACCTTCAATATCAGCCACATGCCGGTGGTGTGAGGATTGCGACTTGGAAGCACTGATAAATCAATGGGTTGGTCATCTTCGGTGTCTCTCGCACCGAGCCAACACCTGGTGAAGCAGGAGGAAGACGTTAGTCTTGTCAAAACATCTTTCAAGAACCGAATTGAAACATAGCGGCTTTCATCAAAGCAGGACCCTGTCAGCGTGAAGCACGTTTTGAAATTAGCTGTGGCATACCTATCCAGTATTAGGACGGACGGAGGACTGAATGATTTTATGCCACAATTACCAGGATAGCAGAAAATGCGTATACGAAAAAAATAATTTAGAGCAAACAGTTAAATAGCGCAAGGATATGAGAAAACTAACTTCGCACATTCTTGAGCAACCGGCCCACCGAATTCAGCAAACATGCGTACACGTACACGAGAAGAAGGGGTTTTAGAACTGGTTTTTCCTTTAACAAATCACGGTAACTATGGAATAACATAATAGAGGACTAAAATATGACACAACCACTTTCAAGTTGAAACTGGAAGTAGCCTATAAGGGGCCCAAATAGCCTCAGTAAAGTGCTAGAAAGATACCGGTTGCCACTACCACCCCCTGCTCAGAAATAAATTTGGTCATTTGGGTTTTCAGGCATCCTGAACAAAAAGTTCACAGAATTCCAGGAAAAAGAAAGCGGTGTGTATCATTTCAATTGCAGTGTTATATACTAAACAATGTCTCTTACAGGCTGGACGCTCCAACAACTTTAAGCTCTAAATATAAGTATCAATAGGATCATAACCCTCTAAAAGCCTATTCATATCTGCCAGTACCAGGATAACCTGTAACGTCATGGGAGTTGTCGCACATCTGCAATCAATGTGGTGGAATTTTTAATTCATTTCATCCACAAATAACATGGGTTGAGGAAAAAAGTATGCGGAAATTTGGGATCTGTTTCTATTTAAATACTCAATATCTATTGAAAAAAAAATATATATATTCAAGGGTGACGATAAAGACGTATTTCATTTTTATGATTATGAATATTGATACAATTTAGATGGTAGTCGCACTCACAGTCCTATTAACCATATTGGCAATGATTGTTGAGAATAAAAATAAGCTTTAGTATAAACTATGTTTTATTCTCCTGAGAATGACAGAGATGAAGCCACCATTGATCTCTGTATACCACCAACTCACAGTCAAATAGCGCCAGCACACACTTAACATAATATCATACAACTTTTATTTATGTTCCAAAATTGTATCAAGATTATTTTCATTTCAATAATTTTTGAAAAGAAACTTATTAAACGGCTTTCTGCTATTTGGACGACAATGGAGAGTGATTTGAAAAACGCGTCACGGGCAAATTTCGTTACTCGAGAGAGAAGAAAGATGTAACGTAAAGGAACAGAGAAAGACAGCTATTGATTGACACAAACCAAGGATTATAAGCGTCGAGAGGAGTTCCCATTATTGACAAGCGCCGATATTGACACAAACCAAGGATTATAAGCGTAAGGAGGATTGCCTATTATTGACAAGCGGTATTGGAAAAATAAAATCATTTCTGGCGAATTTCGAGGTTTTCCTGATATCTCTGGACAGCACTCGGAATTTTTGAAATATCAAAGCAGCATAATAATGAGCACAAAGTTGCACTATACTTTCTTCTGATTCAACCGACGTCGGGTCTCTTTCCGTAGGATTCCAATACAGGATTCGAATAGGATTCAAAATAGCTAGTATTCGAATGCTACCCAAGTCTCCCAAAGTACCAAGTGTTATCACAGGAGTCTATTCGAAACATGCCGCATTAGTAATAATTATCAAACTTCAAACTTGTATAACAGGAGACTTTCTCATTGAAATGAAGCATTACGTTGATAGACTTGATACTGTTTACAATCCCAATCCCCATTAAGTATACATGCCCCAGATGTAAGGGTGAAACTGATATACCCAATCGACTTTGTTTGCCTTACGAATTTTCACAATTTGTTGAACAAAAAAGGATACCATCCCATTATTTTGCAAAACCCGAACGTAGAACCTAAATTATGAAGTTGTACTAGTAAATTTTCTGTTAAATAAAACTTTTGTTATTATATTATTCTGCTTTTTATTTATGGCCTCTAGACTAGGTTAGGCTATAATAATTTAAACAAAATTCAACGAGAGCATTGTGCACAACATTAGGATAGGCCATCGAATACTATATTGTTAAGCTTTTTTAAGTCGACACTTTCCGTATAGGGAGCAAAAGAAGGAAGGATACGGTAAAAACAGGTGAGATCAGGTGACCATTGACGTACAATCGTAGGGAGCCACACCAACTCATATTGGAGTATCAGCTAGGGGATTCTTATCTTGTCACAAGTCGCTATGGCTCGCTAGCTGTCATTCGATACCTATTTCGATATCAGATGGAGAGTGATTCATATGTATTATTGTCGAATTTCGTATCGACATCAAATAGACGGTGGTATGAAAAACGAGAGAAAAATCGACCTTCAAATTTGAATGATAGATGATAGATTATGTTTATTATTTTATAATTTATTTTTCGGTTCAATTCAAACTAGTTTTACTTCTAAAGATTCCTTTCGCGTTGAAAATAATTTCAATTTTTAATTATTATGTTGCAACGAAATCTTAAGGCAGCACCGTCAACAGCAAAACCTTCACTTCAGACGCACGACTCGTAGGGTAGGAGAAACTTAAATTTACATTTTTCTTCTCGTCTCTCAACTCCACACTCCCGTATTCCTTTTGTGAGAATGACCGCGTTCACCAGCACTCAACATGTTGAGTGATTAGTCAGCGGCTTTGTTGTAAAAGATGAAATATAACGAAGGATTA